TAAGCACCGTTGACAAATTTTATAATTATTTAGATAGACAAAGGCTGTCCAGAATCTTGTTTGAAACCTAAGTTTTGAGAGGATCTCTGGAAAACCAGTTTAGTTCTCTAAAACATCAAGTGACAATATATCATACGAGACACAAAATACACATAAAGAACTTCAAGAAAGAAATATCCTTTTGCATAGCCTCCAAGCTATATCAAGCTTTCGTGTCAAACGTAAGTACTTTCGTCGGCTGTATCCGAAACTAGTACTAGGACCGGTAAAGATCAATAAAAAAGTACTGAGCTTGGTAAAGCTTGGTTTTGAATTGAAGAGAGACAGTCATTACTCTCTGTATCTACTTTGTATTCCAACAATTTATTCCCTTGAAGTTGAATTTCACGTGGACGGTGGTTGAAGGAATGGGACTGTAGTCACATGAGTCCATCAATATTTGTGTGACTGATAACAGTGCTTGTAGACGGAATATCTAATACTGGAAGAAACAGAACAACTGTCAGAAAACTTATCATATAGGAAAGCACAGCAACCTTGAAGAGAAAATTCCAAGGCCTGTCATACTTTTATTCAACCGGCGGCAATTCTCAGTGTCAGATGATTTTAACGAAGTCGAAATTTAATTGCAAGAGGACAAGAACAAGCGTTTTTATTAACTTAAGCGCGTTTCTACACGCCTTACAGAGCAGACAACCTCTGGTCTATATTTCGAAGGGTTTTGAATGTCTCTCGCTGTTAGAAAGCTAGTTTTTACAACCACAAATTAAATGTACAACTTACTTGGACCACATGGATCAGTAAATGATGGAATGATATTTGACAAAGGCACTAAAATACAACAGGAATAACCGACTAAATAAATAGCTAGAGTGAAACTTAGAACTTCTGATTCAATTCCGATTTTATCGACAAATTATAAGATAAACTGATGACTACATGCCGGGACTATGAGCTAATCTACCAAGATATGAACTAAAACTGAATTTGGCTTGAGTAATTGTCCAATAGAATATGGTTGATTTTTATGCTTACAGAATCTAACAATTTTTTCTTTCCTCAGTCTGAACTGTAATGTAATAATGAATGCTACGTATCTTACCAAGTGTTTGTGTAATATGATGGTCATAACTTATTACTGTCATGTCTACTATATGATCACCTTGTTTTTTAGTACAATTAACACGATATTCAAATAAAGCGTGTATAGTAAACATTGAATTGAGTATATCTTCTATTTGATGTATTTCCTTTTTACAAAATAAAATGCATTTCGATGCTGATAAATCATTCTCAGCTTGACGTCGACCTCTACAAGTACTCGCAAGACCTGTACAGCCACGCTTGACCACGAAGTCTCCTTGCACACGCGGCTTTCCACCACTTGCTCTTCGGCTTAATCGCCGCCTACGCCTTGGTGTAGGAGTAATTGTTAGATTGACGATAATTGCAGCTAGTCCAATGGAAGCAAATCTTTCGTTAAACTACAAAAACAAAAACAGGCACTATTCATTTGTTTAAACATTTAATCAACTGACTTGTTCTTGGATTGATTGGACCGTATCAAGAGTGGGTGTAATGTCTGTCGATGCTGTTATTGAATCATCAATAACGAATGTTACGTTATTAACCGTATAAACTAAACAGATAACAGTAGAGTTAAACAAGGAATCCAAACTATCATGTCAAATACTTTCGCACCAAGCTTGAAAAATAGTTCAATCATACATATTGGTAATGATTCACTATGTTCAAGATTTTGCAAAGATAATGCAGAACTTCTTCGAATATATAAGACGTCGATCCTCGAGAAATGAGCGCAAGGAAGTAATATTTGAATGTCTTGTATCTGAGACTGCCTTACTCTCTAAAAAATTTTCGTATTATGCAGAACTAAAAAGAGTATTTCCCTGCCAGGATACCCCCCCCTTTCTGGAATCTCTGAGTAACCAATGCAGATGTCCTTTTTTTTGCTTCTGTGAAATTAGAAATACCCTTAGCCGTATTTTACGATGCCATTTTGGTATGTCAGTGAACCCGTTTTGGTTGTAAGGTTTCTTTGAGAGTATTTCTAATTTCACAAAACCAAAAAAAAGGACATCCGCATTGGTTACTCAGAAAAGGGTATTCCGGCACGGAAATAACCTTTTTTTGTTCGGCACTACGCGAAAATTTTTTAAAGAATAGTAAGAGACTTTTGCCTCTGCTGCAAGATTCCAAATATACTCTAACAGAGTCGTACTAGAATCTAGGATAGGTAATGGAATCAGGGATGCTCGAAAGTGGTACGATTTTTTAGGATCCGATCCTAAGAAGAAAATGATAATTATAATAATTACAAAATATTATAACCCTAAGTGAATCACAAAAGAGTCTTAAATGTCCGGATCTCAGTAGAAAAAGATAGAAAGGGTGCAACATTTTGTGTAGGGTAAGAACACATATATGTATGGTGTATAAATTTTCATAGATGTTTATCTCACCGGGTTCAACATTTCGTGGCAAACTAAATGCATGATTTGGAATATACACCGATATCAGTGATAAGACGATAGAAGCCGCAAAAAGAATGCCACATGTAACCAGAACTAACAATACACTGGATGTCAACCAACTACTAAACAGAAATATTAACTGTAGAACATTGTGGAACTAACTTTATTATATCGCTTGCTCTTGTAGATGGTTAGTGTTAATTCACTTAGAAACTTATTTAAGTCACTTAGAATAACACTTACTTGTTAGGCGGTGACATCTTCTAGCGATTGCTAATTTTGCGATTCGTGTTCCTTGTGAATCTAAAAAGAAGAATCTATGCCTTGTAACTATGATAAAATATTTTGACTTTTAACTAGAATAATAGTAATAGTGACGTCCCTAATGTGTCCTTTTTCCACATTAAAAATGATACTATGTTTCTTCTTTTCTTCTTGATGTGTGCATAACCAACTACCTTTTCTTGTTTCTCTTCTTTCTTGATTATATTTCTTACAATATTATTGTTCGAGTGCTTGTCTAGCTCGCTTTTTCATTATCCCTTATATGTAGATAGAAAGCAGATTATTAACTACACGAATATATTGAGTACACCAGTTCTCCTTCAAACAGAAATATCTTGATTTTCTTTCTCATTAATCAGTCAAAATTATTTAAAATGCGTTTACGACGAAGCCGTGCATGCGTAAATGTTCGAATAACAAGCCTATTCACAAATAAGAAGATTATTTATTTTGCTTCTTTGTTTCCAAGTAAGTGATGAATCGAAATCAGAAAATTTTTTATAAGCTATTTTAGTTGAAATAGAAACATTTTAACATTTTCTTCTACCACCGAAAGAGAGGCATGCCCCATTATATCGAGGGATAGAGAAAAAACGATCTATACAATGAAATCATGAAAAACAAAAAATCTGATACGAAAAAAGAGTCAAACAATAATATATGAAAGTCTAGGCATAAACACGGAGAAACCAAAAAATATGTGTAGTAAGAAGTAAAAAGGTGAGGAGAGATAGAACAAAAGAACACGTTATTCTTCTTTTATAAATCTTTTTGTCGCACAAATATAGTCTATTACTGCACGATATATACATGAAAAATCTTCTTTTAAAAGAGATACATTTAGTAGAAGAAGATCAAGGCTAAGGATAGGAGCATTTTTTATTGTTGAGATTTCTTTATCAGAATTTTTCTTTGAGCGTGGAATAACACACACTCTGGTAGATAATGCTGAACTCTCTCTACTAGATAAGTGGTTGACTTCCGAAACTAGAAGAGCAGCCTTATACTGCACGTAAAAAAAACAAATGAATCGCTATTTTATACTCCGAATGAATTTCCCAGAGACGTTTTCAAAATCCTACCTTCTAGGTAAGAATCTTGAAGTATAATCTTCAGCAGTCAGCAACCTCTTTACTATTTACTAACACAACAATGGTATCATCGTGTTTTCCGCAAAAAATACTCTAGGTGAAATCTTTCCTTCTGTAAAACCTGAAAATAAAAGATAGGCGTTTTATATTGTTATGAGAAAACATTTGCGATAGAGATACCTCGAAGAGTTATTCACTAATGATGCAGTGTTAGAATAAGAAGAAGAAGCTGCCTTATCAGCAAAAGATGATCTATCTGTTTCTTCTTTCTTTCATCTTAGGTTTATTTGAAGAGAAAGAAAGTGTCAGAGGCTCCGAATCAAGCTCGATTGCAATTCAGTTGATTGATGGAGTGAAAAATTTGACACGAAATGTTTCAAACAAAAAGGTGTATATCAAAGAAGGTTCTTTATCCATGGGCGGTTGGTCAGCTAGTGACAAATTTCCAGTTATATTGAAAAATATGATCTGCGGACAAAGTGGCTCCGATTTGATTAAGCGATCAGCAGCATTTACAATAGATGATATTAAAAAACAGTTGATGAATAAAACCATGACATCGTTGGCATATATTTTAATGATTCAAACCTGCATCCGAAACGTTGAATTCGTTTCTATTGGACAACCGATGAAACAAAAAAGTAAGCAACTCAACGTCTCACATGTACTCCATTTAGTTTTTGAACTTCTAGTGACGTTTTTCCGTTGAATGTTTCACAACCTATGACGGATTGGTTCAAGGAAGATGTTGCTACTAATGACAATGACTACAAATATCGCTGCTAAAATTTATACTTCACACTTCTATAAAACATAATTTTCCTATTGTAAGTAACACGTGTTGTCTGCTGTGTGGAATAGAAAACACTTTTCGCTAGTGGTGTATTTTCTGTGATTTTTTACTTGAAACTCATTTTCCGATTTAAATAAGACAGTTTCAGGTGCGGAAAGCTGACGTCTTCCTGGCTATAAACAATGTATTTTGAAGATTAAAATATGGCGCTCGGAGAGTCCAACGCGATAGTTATTGCATTAGCTACCTTAGCCCATCCCTCGGTAAACTTTTTAGTTTTTTCGGTCAAAACTCAAAATAATTACGTTTTCAGTCTGATATTCGGAATCAGCATGAAATTCTGCATCGAATGATGTGACTCTCCAAAAGATTCGAAGGAAAAAAAGTTTTTAGTATTCTAAGAGATCATAGTGGCTGTGATTTTTCGAAAAAAATGAAAGTGACTTTTCGAGGGAATTCGATGCTGATTGAATATGTGTTTCTTTTTTCGATTGTTTATGGTCTTTCTTTTTACCCTTACTTGCTCCTCTCTTTTAGATCTATCTTTTAATAATGTTCAACTTTATGATTATATTCTTTTCGAGGAATACGACACCTCTGCTCTTGTCTGGTCTATTGATATAATATTCAAGTCTCTGGCAAGACTCGACAGGATTTTCTCATCTTCAGAAATAAGATTGTTACGTGTGTGTAAAGATTGATTAGCACGATAGAAAGAATTCTCTGTTGCACTTTTCAACTCAGACGAAACAGTAGCTGTACAGGGTTCGAAACTCTTTGCTTGCTGGATCCTCCTCGTCATTCCATTTGTGAAGTTCATTTCGAATACCTGATGCATGGCGAAACAAACATTCCTGTTTGAAATGACGTCTTCACGATGAATCCGACATATGTGTGTAAACGTTAACCCTTTTCCGAACATTTGTAATTCATCGTCATTTATCATTGTTCATATCATTGTAATTTCTTCACTCTGTTCTTTTTATTTTATCGAAATGTATGGTTTTCGTACTAATATTAGTACCCAGTCATATGTCTCTCTATAATACACGAAAAGAAAATAGTAGAATCTCTCCTCATATGTTTCAACTGTTGGTTTTATATGTATATGAAGAGATCGAAAGAGGTAGCATGATCTTCAGTCCTACATTTAACAGTTACTTGTTTCCGTACAACTGTTGAATAAACTTGTAAATTTAAATTTTCTGAACTGCTGATGTATCGTTACTGACTCGAAAGCTCTACGATCAAATTTTAAATAAATATTTGTTCATAAATTAAAAGATGTACTTTTAGCAGCTTGAGTATTCAAATCAAATGTTTTTAAGATACGAAAAGACTTTAATACATTTTGAACAAGGCTATTAAACTTATCTCTTTTATGAAAAGGTGCATATAAAGTGCTGGACTTCGATAGCTGAAGACCGAAGATTTTTCACGTTTCGCTCAGACGTTATTCTGAAAGTAACTTAATATATTATTCTCTCGCTTTTCGATGCTCTACGGTGACGAAAATTTTTCTTTGAGCAAGACAGCGAGAGTGCGCCTAATGATTCCGTTTTGGTCGATAAATGATTAGCAAATTAAGACTTGATGAGCGAACTGTTATTCAATTTAGATCTAAATAAAATAGTTGAGCTGTGCAAGTGTTCAAAGTCACAGCCAGTAGTTCGCTAGAAAATGATGAAGTACACGTTGCTGTCGAAAAGTATGAAAATCAAGCGTACAGTGATCTAGGCAAATCGCGATTGAATATGGAAGAAGATCATACTATTAACGATTATATCGATTCTGAACAAGCTTCGTTTGAAGAAACGCTTGGCATTGTGTCGAATACAGATGATCCGAAGACTGAATGTATGACATTCAGAAGTTTGTTTTTGAGTCTATTATTTACTTGTCTGATGTCGGCGCTAAATCAATATGCTGATTTTAAAACAAATTCTTATGATTTCCCAAGCATTTTAGTTCTACTTTTGGCATACCCTATGGGTAAACTCATGGAATTTTGTTTACCAGGAAGGTCGATAGAAGTAGGCCGTTGGTCAATTTCACTTAATCCTGGGCGATTTTCCATCAAAGAACATGCACTTATTTTTGTAACAGCATGGGTATCTGAGTGGACTACCAGTTCATTAGACGTAATAGTTATTCGACAAACCTCTGACGGAAAACAAACAAATTTTTCTACAGGAATATTTTTCGTTATTTCAGCAAACGTTATCGGTTACGGAATGGCAGGTAATACCATAAATAACACCCATCGTCGCTTACTATTCTGTCGTAAAACGCTACCTATGTTTTTTTTCAGCAATCAACTCTCCTAACCCCTGCCTTCCATAATAGAAGATCATTCCTCATTAGAAGACCACTTTCGATAGTATGACATGAAAGCCATGGCCTTCTGTTTCCAACAGAAAACAATATTGCTAGAAAAAAACAAAAAAATTGCTTCCTTTAAAAAGGCACTAAAAACGGAAGAAATTAGCTGAATTACACTTCTGGACACTGCTCCATTGTACAAGATCCTTGTGATAAAGTAGCTGTATGCATACGGAAGTATAATACACGTGTATATTATAGCCAGAGAAAATACTAAGCAGAAGCGTTACAGCAATAAAACACCACCCTTTAAAATTCGATTTGTTGGATAAAATAGAAGATCAGATAGTCTTCTATTATGGAGAAAAATACTGTAGAATAGACGTTTTTACCTTCTCATTTACAGTTTTGTTTAGTTTATGCAAAAATATGCAGCATTAATGTTCTACTTGTTTCTGAAAGGTATAATGCGACGTTTCTTAATTTGGCCGTCAGAAATGGTATGGCCGAGTAATTTACCTTCCATTGCTCTTCTTCGGACACTTCATCATCCTGAACCATCGTCGGCTCCTAAATGTGGCGATCTGACTCGTTTGAAATTTTTCCTGCTCTTTATGTTTATTCAAATGGTTTACTACTGTTTACCTGGTTTCATGATGCCCATATTAACAGCCTTTTCATGGATTTGCATGATAAATCAAAAAAACATTTTACTTTCACAATTAACTGGTCACAGTGGGCTTGGTCTTGGTTCCTTGCACTTTGATTGGCTTACACTAAACACACAGCTACCATCACTTATCATAGTACCACGGTGGGCGCAGATTAATATTCTTGTTGGTTTTATAATTGTCACCTGGATTTTTATCCCTTCTTTGTACTATTCGAATTTATGGTATTTCAAAATGCTACCAATTCAAAATGCACAGTTTTTTACGAAAAATAGTAACTCCAACGAACTTTTCCAGATTACTTCAAAAGGTTGCTCATCACTTATGACATCTAGCTTTGTAAGGAACAAGGAGTTTCCTGAAAACATTCCGCCAGGATCAAAAAGTATGTTCGAACCAAAGTTTCATGTTCACTACTCTTCATTAATTCAGTATATGTTTAATTTGGTATTGCCGCTTCTTACGTTTCTAGAATGGAAATATGATTTGACCGCTAGAGGAGAGAGATACTGAACAACTGCGTCTTTTCTCGGAGCGTCTAAATGAATCACTCGTAGACCAAGAACCTATATTGTTCACCGTATCAACCGTAGTTGCCTATTTTATATTGTTTGCATCATTCGCAGCCATTATCGTACACACGATTATCCATCATGGTGAAGAACTCATAAAACAACTTCAAACATCTTTAAGAGGCAGACCAAACGATGTGCATTGTAGATTAATGTTAGCATATCCTGAAGTTCCCGATTGGTATTATTTAGTATTGTTTATTTGTGCGTTCATTGTTGCTGCTGTTACGTGTCATTATGGTGATTTTATGCCGTGGTATTACCTTTTTATTGCACTTCCTATTGCGTTTGTTTGTTTATTTCCTCTTGGTATTATTGCTGCTTTAACCGGTATCATTTCAACTAACAGGGAAGTAATTGTTTTAGTTGGCGGTATTTTGATGCATGGGAATCCAGTTGGGAATGTCACATTCAATGCATTTGCTACTGGGACATTTACTCAAGCATTATCACTGCTATTTACTTTTAAACTTGGACACTACATGAAAATATCTTCACGCATTATATTCATTATCCAACTCTTAGTGACAATTTTGTCTGCAATTATCAGATATGCAGTCACAAACCATTTATTAAATACAATAAATGGCATATGTCGCTCAAATAGAGAATGGTCTTGTCCAAGCTTAGGAACGTTAACTATTATATTCGCTCACACAGGTAAATTATCTGAAATAATAAAAATGATACTTTATACACGACTATCAAGGATTCTCACCTATTTTTGAGTAAAGAAAACAACAGAATGAATAAAAAATGTTGACATCCGTGACGAAGGATCCTGAAAAGAAACGTTTTCATTGTCTCTTTGAGAAACGAATTTTATTCGGTGGAACTTGACTCACGAGGGAACGTCCCCAAGTGTCCAATCGCTTTTTAATCGAAATCCAGTGGGTTATAGGTTATCGATCATGCTGATTCCGAATATGAATATGGGAGTTCCCCGTAGCCCTTCGAAGATCCGGTCTTCTGGAAAAACAGTTTTTCAGAAACTCTAAAAAATGATAAAAAGCTTTCTTAATCAGGCAGGATTGTAGCGCGCAAATTCCTGATTAAAATGAGACATCTCCCAGCTCTACGTGACCTTTCTTTGCAAAATTATAGATTTTATAAGAAAAGCCCTAAATTGTCCGTTGTCAGCTCAAAACTGCAGAAATACGGAAAAAATGAATTTAGTGCCTTTCTTGTAAATTGTATAACCTTGCAAAGAAAGGTCATGTAGAGCTGGGAGATGTCTCATTTTAATCGTAAATTTGCGCGCTACAATCCTGTCTGATTATAAAAGGTTTTTCTCATTTTTTGGAGTTTCTGAAAAACTGTTTTTCCAGAAGACCGGATCTTCGAAGGGCTAAGGGGAACTCCCATATTCATATTCGAAATCAGCATGATCGATAACCTATAATCCACTAGATTTCGATTAAAAAGCGATTGGACACTTGGGAACGTTCCCTCGTTGGTTACATAATTTCAACTTATATCATGTCTAATAGTACTTAACACACAGATGTATCCCATTTCTCGGCTATATGCTTTACAGAAATAAAAGAAAAAGAAAGGCACATGCTTATCACGTTGATCTTAAATCACAAGGCATTGTTTGAGAGAAAATGAAAAGCTTGGAAATCTTTTGCCGCATAAGACAAATATTCCACTAATAAAACTCGATTAATAATATCCTAATGCTCGTAAATTTCTTTTTTTTCTAGATCCAAGAAGAGTATTTGGAACAAATTCTATATATGCTAATATGCTTTGGCTTATTTTAATTGGTGCAATATTACCAATTGTATTTTGGATATTAAGTAATAAAATATTTATAAATCAGAAATGGTTAAAATATGTTCATATTCCAATTATGTTTTATCCAATGAGTTTTCTTGTTGATAAACCAGCCGGATCATTTACATCATGGTTATTGATTGGATTTCTGTTTCATACATGCATTCGTCGATGGTGGTGGGATCGATATGCTCTACTATTTTCGGCTGCAATGGATGCGGGAGTTCAAATAAGTTTATTTTTTATTTATTTTATTTTTCAATATAGAAATGTTTATTTTCCGAAATGGTGGGGTACTCAGAATGCATGTCCACTTTCATCTGCAAATTATTATAAAAAATTTCCATGATACACTTAGAATATATTACAATAATCACCGAATTTGACTTGTCGAAACTTGACGTCATTTACTTGTGAATGTACCTAATAAAATGTTATTTCGAAAACATCAGCGTATTTTATTGAAAAACGGTTATATCCAACAGACTTTGTTGGATTCTCCAGGGACATGTCCGTTTCTCGAAGGAAATAGACGTTTGATGTTTTTTAGTTTAGCAGCGAATTGAGCCAGTTTGAAATCCCGTTTTACTTATGACATCTTAAACATAGGTTTACAACAGATTAAATGCAGAATGTCCAAGTTTCATCAATTCTGAAATTCTATTAAGTGCACAAGAATTCTCCCATTTCCTACGAGAATTTTACTTCTATCTAAAGAAGTGGAAAAATCCCGAGTATGTAGTTCACGAGGATTTTACTCTCGCACAAAGATTTGGAGAAATATAATTATAACTCTGTGTCTATGTGGCACTAGGAAAGATTTATCTCTCTTAATTTTCTTTCGTTCTGTCTCGAAAATTGTTGTGTACTTATAAAATATTCCATTTTCCTGGAATAATTTGATCTAAAAGAGATGAAAAAAAGATAAAAGTGTAGAAAAACAAGGAAAAATGAGCTCCACATTACGTTAAGAAAAGACGGATGCGTCTGTGTTATACACAAAGGTCATTCTTTCTTTTTTCGAAAACATTGCTATATATAACGGGTGTGCCATAATAAACTGAACTAAATATTACTGCATTTTTGTCGTACTTCCTCTTCAAATTAGAAGTTTCTTTACATACCAAAAGATAGAGAATTTCAAGCTCTACAAAACCTACTATTCGAATCTCTAAGAGCATTTTTCTCGTTTGAGCACCATTCAAAATATTGAAGAGTGCTAAGTTGTCGAACTGCGACACACTGAAAATAGAAAAACATTTCCCGTGATCCAGAAATAGATTCCATAAGATTTTTGAAAACATCAGAAGATTCACCAGAAAACTCTGCATCTTCTCACATATTTTTCGAAATTTTGCAGTTAAATCGTCTAGGAAAATTTCTCTGTGCAAAAAGCTGATAAATCTAAAAAACCTAACTTTTGAATCTATTTCTCACAGAATTTAGTTTTTGGACTATAAAAGCAGTAAAACGTTCTGAATCGAGGGTTTTAGTCTTATTATCTTACATAGAATTAAATTCTGCGTGTTTTGATATACAAACAAAGTTTCTCAATTGAAACCATTAATTAAAAAAATTAATTTAATTTGAAAAAATTGAAAAGCCGGTTGAGAACT